TTTCCTATGAGATTCATGGATGATAAATGTTTTAAGTTCTTTGTTAAACTATTTGTTTCTTTCGCCTTCACTGTTAATTACCTTTAGATGCTGGCTCCTTGGAGTCTGGTGGAGCCAGTATTAGAGAAGTATAGTCATCTTCCCTCAGATTGAATCTCAGTGCCCTTGTGCATGCTTTCCTGTGTACTTGCAGCCAGATATTTTTGGCACTCAGACTCTCAGCAGATTTCCTGGTGTCTTTATTCCTTGGTACTCTTTTAATTTTCTTTTGTTGTTTGTGCTTTTGGTTTTTAGGTTTTGGTGATTTTTGTTTGTTTAGCTCTGCAAATTTAGGGGATTTTTTCTTTATTACTGATGTTCTAAAACTTTAAGGAATTATTAGTGAGTCTTAACTATGTGAAATTATCTATTGTTTTGTAAGATTCTCTTATATATTTTTTGTTTGTTATATTTTTCTGTTGTCTCTCTTTTCTGCTCCTGGAACTCTTATCAGAAAGATGTTTGTTGGATCTCTTAGTCTATCCTTTATATCTCTTAACATCTTATCTCTTATTTTCTATCTCCTGTATTTTTTCATTCTACATTCCACAGTATTTCCAGAGATTATTTTCTAGATCACCAGGCTGGCCTTTGACAATGGCCATTCTGTTATTCAGTCCATCCAGTAAATTTTTTTACATCAATAATTATTTATTATCCAAGAATTTTTCTTGTTTCTTTTTCATAGCAACTTATTCTTTTATGAATGCATTATTTCTTTGAATATCTCTAAAAGCACTAAATCGCATTTTTTTTCTTCTGCTTCCTTATTTATCTTCTTCCTTAAAAGCCAGTTATTAACTGTTCATCTTCTTTTTCTTGAAGGAAATATTTATTGCATATTATTAGTGATGATGCTTTATAGCAAAATTAAATGGATACACTTCTCGCAAACATAAACTGGAAATCCAGGCATCTATCAAATTTATATACTGAACCAAAGTTCTGTTTTCAGAATTCAGCAGTCAATCATTATTCTGGTCCAGGGCCACCACTCCACGATTTCTTAGTGTTGAGGATCTTGTCAGTAATTTGAACAAAATCTCTTTATGTGTGACAGTTGTTTCCTACATAAAACTCTTTTAGGGGCACAGTTATTTCATCCTTTTGCTCTAATTTACTAGTTGGCTCAGAGATTTCGTTTGTTGAGACATCTTTTGTTTTACTTCATCATCTAATAGTTTGCTCTTTTTCTGCCTGAAGAAAATCAAGGAGCCCAAAATGGTCCAGGTGCCCAATGTGTAGATTACAGACATCCACCAGTACCAAGACATGGCCTGGTCCGGACCCATGGCCTAGTTGTTCATCTTGGTTCTATTTTTCTCCCTTGATATTGGATTTGTTCAAATATCTGATGATCCTTGGTTATTGATTTATGTTTATGAGGATCAAGTTGATTAATACAAGTGTCCTTCCTCAGCAGTTTGGTAGGCTTGCTTTAAAATTTAATTGAATGTGGATTTACATTCAAAAGGATTCTAAAAGGATTATCAGTGGTCTCTGAATATATAGGTGGGCCATGTCAATAGTCATGTCTTCCAAAGCAAGGAGCCCAGAGGCAGGCTTCGGACCTCCAGAGTCTAGGAGCAAAGTACTAGGTGTAACTGCCCCCCTCTCCAGCCTTCTGAGTTTGGAAATGGGGTCTGTTGATACTCTTCTTTGTTTCTCTTCGGATCTACCACCCATAATAAGATGCATCACAGACATGATTCTCTATTTAACCTGAGAGCTAAAGCAGCAGGTGGCAGGCTCTTTATAATTTGTATTAATGGAGTTAAGGATGGTTTATCTCTGCTGTTCTAGTTTAATTACTCTGATATTATTTTTTCTATTTGTTTACTCTGAATTTAGTGGGTTTTTTTCCTTGATTTCCGAGAAGTGTTTCTCTTTTTCCTCTGGGGATTGGGGCTGCTATGACTTTTGAGTATGTGCAATCTTACCTGTTTTTAATATTCCAGGATTTCTTTAAACTTTCTGTTTTTCTACTTGTTCCATTTCTTGTTTTCTAGGCCTATTATGGATTTTTGTTGTTTAAAATATCTCTGTCCTCATTTCAAGGTCACTTTGGAAAGCAAAATACCTAAATTATTCAGTCTGCTGTTTTGAACCATTACACTTTTGCTTGTTTTTTAAAGTATTAATGTATATTATTGACTCAGCTAATGTCTAATTATCCCTATTTTTTTCTCTGGTGGGGGATAAAAAACAAGTCATTTATCTTCTTTTGAGGCTTTTATTTTCCTATATGTGAATTTTCCTTTTTATTTGAATACAGTTTTTTCAAATTGAACTTCTATTGTTGTTAACATTTTGTTGTTAAGCAAAATTCATGGGTATAACACTAATTAAAATCATCCTTCTGTGGCTCTATAAATTAAATAGATTATTTTACATAATAAAAGTTTACAGTTTATGGTAAATAAGACAATGGAATGATATAGTTCTCTGGTTGTCTTGAGGGGCTTTTGTATTCCAAGCTATTGACTGACTGAGTAAATTAGCTAATGACTTTTTGTAACTTGATTCATTTCATATACGCATCCTCCAATAATATATGGCACTACAACATTTAGTGCTAATTTTAGAAGGAAAACAATTTTAATTTCTATTGTTTATATACAAAGCTGGGCAAAAGTCGTTTAACAGTTGTGAGTACATGGAGCACAGTTTATTCTTGTATTATTATTTATTAGTAGCCCGGTGCATGAATCTGTGCCTGAGTGACTCGCTGACGCTTGCCTCAGCAGGCCATCCCACCCACCAATGCTCTGTAGCTCGCTGCCCGCCCTCCTGTAGCTCTCCACAGCTCTTAGCTCACTGCCCCACACTCTTATAGCTCTCTGCCTGCTGCCCCGCCCTCTTGTAGCTCTCCCTGCTTGTAGCTCACTGCCCCACCCTCCCCACTTATAGATGGGTTGTGACTTTAGGAGTCCTGGCTAATTTGCATATTCCTCTATTATTATATTAGATTCTTATCCTATATAATAAAAGCCTAATATGCTAAGTGTTTGGTTGGCCAGTAGGCCGTTCAACCAATCAAAGCATAATATACTAATGATATTCTAAGGCCGCTCAACTGCTCGCTGTGACATGCACTGGCCACCAGGGGGCAGACAGTTGACCAATCAACCAGTCACTGAGATATGCACTGACCAGGGGCAGATGCTCAATGCAGGAGCTACCCCCTGGTGGTCAGTGCACTCCCACAGGGGGAGTACCACTCAGCCAGAAGCCAGGCTCATGGCTGGGAAGCACAGCAGCAGCGGTGGTGGGAGCCTTCCTGCTTCTGCAGCAGCTGGACATCCCTCGAGGGCTCCCGGACTGCGAGAGGGCACAAGCCGGGCTGACAGACCACCACCCCAACCCCCGAGTGCATGAATTTCATGCACCAGGCCTCTCGTATTATGAGCAACTGTAAACCTATTTTTGCTCACCCCTGTATATACTTTATGAATAGAAAATACAAAATAATGTGTAAAGTTCAAACTGTATATCAAATAGACAGCATAACAAAACTAGCAGAATTCCATTGTTTTTGTTCTTGGAAATTTTATTAGAAATATATTACCCCCTACTTTGTCTTTTTTATTATATTGTTGTTCTTTATTATAATAATCTTATTTTTATGGATCTAAACATATTCTTAACCCACTAGTGTTGTCAAAAATGATTCTGCATTGTGTTATATCTATATATCCTAATGTAATGCGATATTGGTATATTATTTGTAAGCTTTAAAGGGCCTTTTAGTTCTATTTAAGGGAGGAGTCAAGGGATACAGAGTTATAACTTTGTCCTTGCTCATGACACAGATACTAATTTATAATTTAAATTGAATAATATATTTAAAAACTCATAACATTTTATCCTATTTAAAATTATGTAATATACGAACTAAATTTTATATGAGTTTAGAAGGCATGGTTTTCTCTGAAGAAATGTGCTAACATGAGCATTTTTTCCCTCTGTCTGATTCTGTATAAAGTTCCCAAATATAAATTTCTTTTCCTCAAAATGATCTAATTCTTTTAGAAGGGTTGTAATGACTGTATATATACAGATTGACTTACTCATAAGTAGGCGTGTGTTTTAGGCTATGAGCCTCATCCAGATGTAGTTTAAGTAGCCTTTTCTGAGTTTCTCCTTTTTTTTCATATCCCACATTTAGTCCACGAAGCAAATGTTAGTTCTGTTTTCAAAATACATCCAGAATTTGACCACTTTTCACTTCTTCCTTTACGTTGGTTCATACCACCATCATCTCTTGCCTAAATTATTGTTATGCCTTCTTAACTGGTCTCCTGCTCCCACTGTTGCATCTTTCTTTCTAGTTTCTACATAGCAGTTGTTGGAGGAATCCTTTCAAAACAAAGTCAAATTGTATTACTTCAGTGCTCTGGCTTCTTAGAATAAAATTCTAAATTATTTCCATTGTTTATAAGGCCTTCCACAATTTGGCCCTAATTACCTCTCTGATGCTACTCTCCTTGCTCGTGCCCCTCCAACCACATTGACCTTTCAACCCAGTTTTCTGGCCTCTCTTGGCATTGCCTATCTGTTATCCTAACATCCTCCCCACTTGTCAGTTTCTCTATCAGCCTGTCTAGTAGCTCAAAACAATGTCGGTCATATCACATGAACTGATTTGGTTAAGGTAATCCAATGAGAAAATTACTGCAAGACTTAGAAAAGATCAAGCCTTTTGCTGATCTCATATTCTTTCAGTTATATCTAAGTATATAAAATTATTATATTTGACAGTTAAAAAATTGGTAACATTTTTTAGGTGTTCATCTTGCTATTAGTAAAGGATCATTGTTTAGTGCACCCCCCCCCCCCCAATAATTTCAAGATGACTTCTAGTAAAATGCATTAGTCTTACTGCAACTATGTGAGGGGATTGAGGTCATGCCCCCTTATATATGGAATTAATTATTTCTTGCTCTATTTTTCCTGTACAGAGCCTTTCATCCTATTATAAAGGAGGATTTGAACAGAAAATGAGTAGGCGAGAAGCTAGTCTTATTTTGGGTGTAAGGTAAGTGTGCTGCATAAGTATTATTTTGTTTGTGCCCAAGCTTATATTGAAAAAGGAGAAAATGTTGCAGTAAAGTTATTTTTATATTTTAAATTATGAATAGAAGGCAGAGGAGAAATTATCAAGTTTTTACATTTTAAAATCTCTAAGAGAAAATCTCACACTCCTAAAAAAAACCCCGGCAAAGTTGAAATGTGTCTTTATTCCATAACAAGGAGCTATTATATTTCTTCTTTTTCTTTTTTAAAAAATTGATTTGAGAGAGAGAGAGGAAGGGGGGGAGCAGAGAGAGAGTAAGAGAAAGAAACATTGATGTGTTGTTCCATTTATTGATACATTTGTTGGTTGTTTCTTGTATGTGCCCTGACTGGGGATTGAACCCACAACCTTGATGTATTCGGACAGTACTCTAACCAACCAAGCTACTTGGCCAGTGCTCAGGAGCTATTATATTTCAATATTAAAGTTTCAAAGCAATTATCATAATATCCCTCATTATGATACTGAATTGTTTCTGGATTCAGTTTTATAATTTGATATGTATCATATTTTCTATTATAATATGGGCTCTATTTCACAATTATTTTCTAGTTTTGCAATTTGACATTTAGCATATTTTCTTAGACTTGTTTCACCTTTTAAACATTTACTAGAGGTCTGGTGCACGGATTTGTGCACCCGGTGGGGTCCCTGAGCCTAGCCTGCGTCCTCTTGCAATCCAGGACCCCTTGGGGGATGTTGGACAGCTGGTTTCGGCCTAATCCCTGCAGGCCAGACCAAGGGACCCCAACAGTGCATGAATCCATGTACTGGGCCTCTAGTATGCATATAAGATCTTTGGTTAATCTCTTCCCACCCTCCCCCATCCCCCTTTCCTCTGAGATTCATCAGTCTGTTCCATGTTTCCATGCCTGTGTATTGAGCGTCTGCCCCCTGGTGGTCAGTGCGCATCATAGCTACTGGTCAAACGGTCGCTTAGACTTTTATATATACACTAGAGGCCTGGTGCATGAAATTTGTGCATGGGCGGGAGGGGCTTCCTCAACCTGGCCTGCCCCTTCTCACAGTCCAGGAGGATGTCCTCCAATGCCGGAGGCGACCGGGCTGATCCGGGGTAAGGCTTTGCCCCCAACATCCCGCTGCTGTTGCCATTGCCAGCCACTGCAGCTGCAGGCCCTCGCTTCTTAGTGCTGGCCCCACCCTCTGCCCACTGGTTGGTGGGGGCCTATCTGGGGGCAGGCCGGCTGTGGGAGGGGCTGTGGGAGGTTGAGGCACAGCAGGTTGCACCCGTCCAGCCTCTGTGGAGGCGTGGCGCCTGGATCAGGCCCACGCTGCTGTCTCTGTGGCTGCCTCTGCAGAAGGGGCAGCACTGGGACTGGGCTGCGCTGTAGCCTGTCCTGTGCCACCTCTGCAAAAGGGGCCACGGCGTTGGACCAGTGGTGTTAGACCAGCCCGCCCCTCCCGTGTGAGTGCTGGACCGGCTCGTCTCTCCCATGTTGCACCAGACCCTCACAGCTGCTGTGGCTTTGGAAGGACATCCGGAAGACTTCTGCCCTAATTAGCATATTGCCCTTTTATTAGTATAGATACTAGTGGCCCAGTGCACATTGAAAGGAAATTAATTAAAGAAATATTTTAATATCACTATTCGCCCTTTCTCTATAATAGAAGTTTCAGATGTGAAAGAAAGTCACTGAGAATCCCACGTAGGGCCAGGTTCAGGAGTCCTGGGCTGGGAGCAAACGCGCGAACCCCAGGAACTGATCCTACCCACACTGCCGGCTTCTGAGCCCTGGGCTGGGAGCAAACGCGCGAACCCCAGGAACTGATCCTATGCACATTGCCGGCTTCTGAGCCCTGGGCTGGGAGCAAATGCGCAAACCCCAGGAACTGAGCCTCCATGCACTACCGGCTTCTGAGTCCTAGGCTGGGAGCAATCGCGCGAACACCGGGAGTTTGTCCCGCGTATCACAGGCCCAGGGACCCTGATTCTCTGGGCAGGAGGCAGCACCAAGCACCAGTGACTTGACTGTGTTTCTTATCACCTACACCTGAGATCCTGATCTCCTGTGCTTTCATACTAAGAGCCAGTGACTCCAATTCCTGGTGCAAGGGCACACAGGGACCCTGATTCTCAAGGCAAGGTCGCCCGAAGCAACAGAGACTCTGATACTGGATTCTTGGGGAACTCTGACTCCTGACGCACGCTAGGGGGCTCTGGTTTTCAACACGCTTCAGGGGGATCTCTGTTTCAGCACGGTGCAGGCAGGGTCCCTGATTCTAAGGGCGCGTACGAGGCCACATTGAGCACTGACAACACTGACTCTAAGCGAGCCTGGTTCCCACCAACCCACAACAACCACACATCTTAGTGTCAGAGCTCTTCAGTGACACTAGGGTGGCGGGAGGCTCCCACTGCACACGGCCCAGGCCCACGCAATTCGACGTTTGAACCATCGGGAAATAATCAGAATGAAGAGATGAAACAACACCCAGACGAAAGACAATGAGGAGTCGCCAAGAAAGGAAATTAATGAAGTTGAAGCATGCAACATGACAGAAAAAGAATTCAGAATAATGGTTGTACAATTCATTCACCGGATGGATGAGAAAATCAACAACCTATGCAAGAATCAGGAAGAAATGAAAAGTGATATAGCTACAATCAAAAACACCATGGAAAGTTTCAACAGCAGACTAAAAGAAGTAGAGGACCGAATTAGTGAATTAGAAGATAAGGCAGAGAAACAAGCTCAATCTGAACAGCAACTGGAGGAAAAAATTAAAAAGCAGGAGGAGAGCCTAAGGGAGCTTCGGGACAACATGAAACAAAGTAACATACGCATAATAGGGCTGCAAGAAGGACAAGAAGAGCAGCAAGGATTAGAAAATCTATTTGAAGAAAAAATGTCAGAAAACTTCCCAGATATGGGGAAGAAAAAAGTTCCACAAGTACAGAGAGTCCCAGGCAAGATGAACCGGAAAAGACCCACACCAAGACACGTCATAACGATGGCAAATGTACAAGACAAAGAGAGAATCTTAAAGGCTGCAAGAGAGAAACAGAGAGTTACCTACAAAGGATCCCCCATCAGATTATCAAATGATTTCTCAACAGAAACACATCAGGCCAGAAAAGAATGGACAAAAATTTACAAAGTGATGCAAAGCAAAGGACTGAATCCAAGAATACTCTATCCAGCAAGGCTATCATTCAAAATTGAAGGGGAAATAAGAAGCTTCACAGGCAAAAAAAGGCTAAGGGAGTTTATCACCACCAAGCCAGCAATGCAAGAAATGCTAAAGGGACTGGTGTAAAAAGAAGAACTAAAAAGCCCAGAAAGAAAACAGCCACACACACACACAAAAAAAATTAGAAATGGCTACAAACAAGTACCTTTCAATAATAACTTTAAACGTAAATGGACTAAATGGTCCAATCAAAAGGCATCGAGTGGCTGAATGGATAAAAAAAACATGACCCATATATTTGTTGTGTACAAGAGACCCACCTCATTAGAAGGGACTCACACAGACTGAAAGTGAAGGGATGGAAAAATATCTTTCAGGCAAATGGAAATGAAAAAAAAGCTGGGGTGGCAATACTTATATCAGACAAAATAGACCTCAAAGTGAAGGCCATAACAAGAGATAAGGAAGGCCACTACATAATACTAAAGGGATCAATACAACAAGAGGATATAACCCTGATAAACATATATGCACCCAATGCAGGAGCACCCACATACATAAGAAAACTCCTGGAAGATATCAGGGGAGAGATCGACAACAATACAATCATTGTAGGGGACTTTAATACACCACTGACATCACTGGATAAATTCGCTGGACAAAAACTCAGCAAAGAAACAGCGATCCTAAATGACTCACTAGATCAGATGGACTTAATTGACATCTTCAGAACACTTCACCCCAAAGCCACAAAATGCCGGGGTCCAACCCCAGCGGGTCCAGGGGTCCCCAAAGGTGTGGATGGAGTCGGCGAAGAAGTTCTGCTTAGGATCTCCAGCCAGGTTCTGTGTCCATGTTCTCTTGCTAGGTTCTCCAGCCAGGTTCTGTCCAGGTTCTCCAGCCAGGTTCAGTCACCAGGTTCTAGTCAGGTTCTCTTGCCAAATTCTGTAGTCAGGTTCAGTCCAGGATCTTTTGCCATGTTCTCTCGCTAGGTTCTGTCTCTAGGTTCTGAGGCCAGTTTCTGTCCAGGATCTTTTGCCATGTTCTCTCCAGCGAAGTTCTTCTGTCTCTAGAGAAAGTTCTGTGTAGGTTCTGTGCCTAGGTTCTGTCTCTCTTGGTTCCGTATTCTAAGTTCTGTGTTCTAAGTTCTGTGTCTTGCTGTCTTGCTGTATCTGTATTTATACCAGTTGATTCAGTCCTATCAATCTCTATTACAAAGGTTAGGGCGTTTCTTATCTTCATTCCTGGGAGTAAAGATTATGTAGCTTAAGCATGATTGTTCGTAGTTAAAGTGATTAATTACCCGCCTGGCACTTAGTTAAGAGGTTTTATTCCCTCCCTAACTTCAGGGGAAAATCCCTACCTGGGGAAACAACCTTTCTCAGAGACCTTGGTTAAAACACATAGTGCCAAGAAGGTGAGCAAACATATTAAGAACAGTATGCCATATATGCCAGGTCCCTTGAAACAGCAAGCATGGACCGGCTCCCGGCAACAAAATATACGTTCTTCTCAAGTGCTCATGGGACAGATTCAAAAATAGACCACATATTGGGTCACAAACAAAGTCTCCCCAAATTCAAGAAGATTGAAATCATACCAAGCATCTTCTCAGACCACAAGGCCATAATATTAGAAATAAACTGCAATAAAAACAACTGAAAATACTCAAACACTTGGAAGCTGAATAGCACGTTATTAAATATTGATTGGGTTACCAATGAGATCAAAGAAGAAATTAAAAACATCCTGGAAACTAATGAGAATGAAAACACAACAATCCAAAACCTTTGGGACGCAATGAAAGC